CCACAAGGACCAGGTGTACCGGGGGCTGCGGGAGAGGCAAGTGTGGAGTGGGGGGTGTTGTGGATGGGCCGCTGCCTGGTGAGGGGGGAGAGGCGAGAGAAGGGAGCTGCAGACCAGACGTTTCCCGCCTTGGATCTCAGCTCCTTCGTGGAGCCTCTGGTCCCATCTTCTTGCCCAGCTATCCCAGGGGAGCTTGGCCAAGGCCAGAGATGTGAGGACAAGGGCTTTTCCCTCCTGCCTGTCTGGCCTCAGAGGATGATCACGTGGGCGTGGAGAGAAGAGGGCTGGAGAGGGAAGGAGGTCAAGGAGCACAAGCTGTGCTCTCCTCCCTCACTACCCCAGCCCCTCCTCCCAACCCCTGGGGCGGCCAGCCAGCCCCTCCCCAGACCTTCCTAGGAGCTCCTGGCCCCTCAGAGCCTCAAGCCCTGTCCTCCAGCTGGGAGGGACCTCCTTTTCATCTACTTAAGCCCTGACTCCTCCAGGAAACTTTCCCTCCCTTGTCCAGCCCAGGCAGTGTCAGAAACACAAGAATCCAGCCTTTGACCAGCCCGTTCAGACAACCGTGCCTGCAGAGGCTACCTCTCCTGTCCCTGTGGCACAGGACTGGGCCTTCAGGGCAGCAGGAAGCCTGGAGGATGGGGAGGGCTGGCCTTCCCGGCTCAGAGACCAGCACGGGGGTGCAGGCAGAGGGGAACTGCCCTGCTTTCTCGGGACAGAATAAGGCTCAGTCACGACATACCTGGCATCTGCTCGCAGGAATCTTAATCTTGTTTCCCCAACTCCCTGCGAGAGAGCAGCAGGGCTATGGGGGACATGTCCAAAGGTCATAAGACCTTGTTCCACCACCCTTCCACCTAAAGGTTCTGCCCTCTGTCATGTCCCCCTCCATTTACCCAACCACCTCCTCCCCCAGGGCTTCTGGGAACATCCCTCTGGTCTTTCAGGATTCAGAAGTCTGCCCAGCCAGAATAGACCCAAATTTGGGTGCTCCCCTTTCCCCTCCCAGGGGCTGGCCTAGGATCGGTACTCAGGACAAATCAGGTGGCTGCATCCTTCCAAAGCCCTGCGCAGGTGGAGACCAGACCTTGACAGTTGTTCATGCTCTGCTGCTTTGAGGAATGTGGAAGACTGAGAGGGCAGGCAGGTGTAGGAGGTGGGGTTAGGGGCCATGGAGGCAGCTTGACGGCTGGTAGACTGGGGGGTGAGTACCGAGACCGGGTATAGTGTGGCACACAAGCCTCTCTGGGACAGCCTGTGCACGTGCGTGTGTGTGTGCACGTGTGCGCACACATGCGCAGGTGCCCACGCATGCATGCACATCCTTGTGCTGGGAGAGGGAAACCAGAGGAGAGGGGCTGGTCAGGGGAGACTTCTGTCACAGGGACAGTGGCACACAGGTTCCACCCTGGAAGCGTGTGCCCTAGAGGGCATTCGGAGGACGGTGGCGGGCGGGGAGAACCTCGGGGGCTTGTTCTCTCCCTCCGTCCACATTCTGTGCTTTTCCCCTGCTCACCTCCACTCACAGCTGCGGCCTCTGGGAACCAGACAACACGTTCTTAGTTCTGACCTCACAGAAGGAAAGCTATGTCCTTCTTCCCTCCCACTCACAGTTGTGCTGGGCCGGGCGGGAGCCTGTCAAACACACGCATCCCTTCGACGCCCTGGGGGGCGGGCCAGATTGAGGCGTTTGCCTTTCCTGCATGTGGGACCCAGGACTACTGCACTGGGCCCCTGAGCCCAGCCACGGCTCCCTGGGTGGGGGGGCTGCCCTGCCTCCCTGGCTGGATTAAGTGTGAGCCCCAGGAGAGCAGGCAGCTCCCCACAGGCCCCAGCTGCTAGAGCCAGGCCGGGGCTTTAGGGGCAGGGAGGCAGGATCTCAGGCTTTCAGGAGGCTGTAAGGAGGCGGGTCTTGGAGAGGCCCCCTGGGCTCCGAGACTGCGCTGGGAGACCTAAGCTCCATCGGGCCTGAGAGGTCCCGGAACTCAGCTTCTCCTGTGCCAGCTAGGGGCACAGAAGGAGGGCTGAGAACAGGGAGTGAGCTGGTCCCCTTCTCCAGTTCTGTGAGGAATCAGGGACCCTTCTAGCTCTCATTTATTTAGAACAGTGTCGAGGCCCGGAGGAGTCAGCCGTGCCAGGAAAAGCCATTACCCTGACAGCCTCCCTCCACCTGCTAAAAGCCTTCCTCCTTCCCCTGGGGCCTCACCCCTCTGGAATTATTTCTTCTCGGGTCACCTAGCCCTGCCCAACCTCTGTGGTGAGTGCTGAGGGGAGGAGGGTGGGTGGTGGGTGGAGAGAGAGGGAGATAGAAAGGTGCTTGCTTAACTCTTACTGTGCTTGAGCACAGTGAGCACCAGCAGGCTCCCTTGGCCTTGTCCGCCGCCCTTCCCATCTCTTTCCACTTGGAATTCCTCCCGCCAGGTGCCCAGGAGCTTGTGTAGAGAAGGGGAGGGGACAAGAAGCCAAAGATGTCAGGAGGATGGAAGAGAGGCTGGCAAACTTGGGTCATGAGTTCCCACCTGAATTGTGTCCCTGCACTGCTGCAACTGAAGCCCATTGCTCACAGCTTGGTTCTGTCCTCTCCGTGCACCAGGGATGCAAACACCGTGTGCCCTGTAGGAGCAGGTTTGCTGTCTGGGTGTAGCAGGCCTTCCTTCCTCCTTACATGCATCCCTGCAACACTCCCCACGTGATGCATCCGCCTGCCTCTCTGCTGCACTCCGCCCTGCCCTGGTGCTCTGTGGAGCCTGACGCCCTGGAGAAAGGGAGGCGAGGGGAGCAAACAGAGCAGGTGGGGTGGGAGCTGGTGGGAGGCTGCTGAGAGCTCTGAGGACTCTGACCTTAGGAGCCGCTGTTGGAGGGAGACCCACAGCACAGAGTGGCAGGAGGAGGGACCCAGGTTGCACCCCTCAGTTAGCAGAGGTCACAGAGCCTGGAGGAAGGGACCGGAGGAGGCGCGGGCAGGCTGGGCTCCACTACCCCGCCAGCCTTGCTGCCTTCTCTCCAGCCTGGCTCCCTCCCACGCACCCCTGGACCAGAGGGGCCCACTTCGCAGGCATGGGGAGGCAGCGGCTGTCTGGATGGGTACCAAGTCTGGGGGGCTTCATCTCTCCAGGTGACCCACCCTTTCTCATCTCAGCCCTCCCTCTGTGTGCCCCTTTCCCCTTCATGCTGAGAGACACCCAGGTTGTTTTGTATCAAAAATGAGGGAATAACGTGAATGGGGGCCTTCAGTGTGCCAGAATTGGACATACTTTCTTCCCAGCTTTATAACCACCCTCAGAGGGAGGTACGACTTAGAGAAGAGGAAACTGAGGCTCTGAGAGGGGCAGTGACCTGGTCAGGAGAGAACTGTGGGTGCAAAACCCGTTCGGCATGGCTCCAAAGCCTACACTCATTCCATGCTTTGGTCACAGGTGCCAGAGGCACGCCCCCCCCCCACCGCTGCAGACCAGAGTTGAGGTCAAGATTGGGAGACACTAGGCCAGGGGCAATTAAAGTTATTACTACTACTACTACTACTGCTACTATTAACACTTTGTACTTGACAATGTGTCAAGTATTTACGCATTAATTCGTTTCCTGCCCACAACACCCTGCATCACCATCCCTGTTTCACAGACAAAGGAGGTAAAGTACAGTGAGGGTAGGTACCTTGTCCAGAATCTTTCAGCTACTTACCAGGCAGAGCTGGGGTTTGGAACTCAGGGTTCCTGACTCCAGGGACCCTGTTGTCACCCTCACGCCACACAACCTCTCTGCTGAAGCAGAGGGAGAGTCTTTAGTCGACTCCTGGAGCATGGATGCAGGACTCCTACAAGAACAGGTGTCCACAGGCTGTAACAATTAGGAAGCAAAGATCCAGGCCACTGTGTCACTCACGTTGAGAGGACACAGGGAGCGGGGAAGGCCAGGGAGTCCCAGAGGGCTTCCTGGAGAAGAGGGAGAGGCCAGGCTGGGAAGGACCACAGGCTGGGGCTCCTGACACAGGGAGCACACTGGCTCTGAGCTTCCGGGCCAGCCGGCCTGCCCTACACTCCCTTCGGGCACATCTGGTCATGGGGCCCAAGGGCTGGTGACAGTGCCATCTATGCTTCCCACCCTGGGATACCATTTGTGCACAATGCCTCCCTACCGAGTGTGTGGCGTGGCTCCCCCAACAAAGGCTCTCCGAGCTGATTCCCACCTGTGATTGCTGCAGTCAAAGTAGCAGCGCCATTTACAGCCCCGAGATAATAATCTTCTCAGCAGAAGACATACTAACTCTCTCACTGAACTGTTTGATGGCTTAGGATCTCAGGGACGCTAATTCCAGATACCTGTGGGATGTGCTGGGATGCAAAAGGTCCAAGCTCCCACCTCACCTCAGACAGCCTGGCCTGGCACGACCTTGAGGGCTCGCGGGCGGGAAACCCCTCACTACCCCCTGCCCTGCCCCTGCCCAGCCTGGGGCCTGCACACAGCAGGTGCTGCAGAAGGCAGTGGCACACGTGTGCACCACTGAAAAGGTTCAGAGCCAGGGGAGCTGGGCCAGAAGCTTAGGGAAATGAAGGTTGCAGGAGAGACCAGCCAGATGGGCTCCACACAGCTGCCCTGCCCAGAGGGTTCCTCCCACCGAACGGTACCTCAAGAAGGGGGTCAGGACAGGGAGTCTCTGCACTCAGGTGCCTGCTGGGGAGCCCTGACCTGGCGGGGGCAGGAAGTCAGACAGGCAAGGCGTCCACGTCCACTCCTACCCCCAACCTCAGCCTCTGGGGCCTGAGCCCGCACAAAGGCCTCAGCAGCGGCCAGCAAGACAGTGTGGCCACCCGGGCAGGCAGGGCAGCTGAGGAGAGAGTCCTGGTGTCCTCTGGGTGTGGGACGGCCTGCCTGTCTCTGCCTGGGAGACAGCTTTTCATGCTTTGTCCACCCTTTGCTCAGATTTATGGACAATGGAGTCCGAGGTGGAGGAGCAGCAGGCCGGGCACCCTCCTGCTGACTCAGCCTGCCCCTCCCCCTCCCAGGAAAACCACATCTGAGGAAGCGAAGAACCAGAGCTCCAAGGCGGTCACATCTGTGCCCTCAGAGCCCACCAGAGCCCCCATCTGGGGAGACACAGTCGAAGTGGAGATCCAGGCTGAGGATTCGGGGCATGAAGGTGAGGGGGTGCAGATGGGGCTGGCGTGCATGGGTGGGGTGCAGGGCGGAGCCAGCCGCCCTCTCGACACAGCTGGGAGCCACCTGAGCACCTCCTTGGGCTCAGTTAAAAGCACTTTCAAAGGAAAAATTGCAATGCCGTCACGCCTCATCTCCCCAGCCTGCTCGAAAAATGGTTGTTTCACATAAACGAATTTTCCAGACAATGAAAGCTTATCGTTTTTATGGCCGTTGTTATTATTTTCATGGTTGTTATTACCACCGTCTCCCACGGAAACGGCACATCATAGCTTCCTGGCACATCCCCACACATTGCTCATTGGATCATCCCTTCCAGGAGGAACAATGCTACTCCCATTGCTTAAATGAGAAAACCGAGGCTTGGGGAACTTAAACCACAGGCTCAAACTCAAGTGATCCGTAAGTGGAGGACCTAGGGTCAGCATTCCACGCTCTCATTCCTTAGCCCCTGAGCCCTAGCTGCTTCCCTGGAACGGCTTCTTATCCTGCCTAGTCCCCCCGGACACAGCCCACTGTCAGACGGCAGTGTCTCCGTGCTTCCGAGGTGGGGGCCACTCTCACAGGAACTGCCTTACAGCTCTCACTCCTCCACCCATGAAAAGCCTTTCCAGTCATCGTGTTTCGGCAAATTCTGACACTGAAGGCAATTTAAGAGCAGAAAGCCAGCTGCTAAAGACAGTGGAAGGGGAGAGACTGAAGGGTGAAGAGGAGCATCAGTAAAAGGAGAGGCTAGTTCTAGGTCAAGCCCGAGGATTCATTTTTTTCCCCCTGTAAAAGGATAGGTGGAGCTGTTGAGAAACTATGAAAGAGCAGGAGAAATTGACCTAGGACTTCATGCAAATGCACGTGTGCGCCTGTGTGTGCATGTCTTTGTGAATACCTGCGTGCTGGTTCATGTACGTGTGTGAACATTGTGTGCGTGAGTACATGCTTGTGACTGCCTATAGGCATACATGTTTGTGTGTGCGTGTGTGCGCGTGTGTGTGTGCAGGTACATGTCTTGCTGCAACACTGTGTTATGTGCGCATCCAGATTAATCTGGAAGCTGGTGTGTGCCTGGCGATGCATGAATGTGTGTGTGTGTATACATTTATGTGGCTGACAGGAAGTTAGGGGTTGTGGTGAGTGGACCTGGGCTGTGATCCTGCCCTGGGTTCTACACATCTGGAGTGATTACAGGAAAGGGTGTGATGAGTCAGTGGCCTTGGGGCCCATCTGTGCAGCAGAGAGGGAAGCAGGACTCACTGCAGGCGGGACAGGAGGGTGGGGAGGCCTCATGGGTAGGCAGGGAATATTGGCAGGTGCCTCTTTGCAGATTGAAGTAGCTGGATGCTGGTTGGAACCTGGTTGGAACCGGTTGCTGTGGTGATGTCTGCGGTGGGGGTGGGGAGATGAGGGCCAGGCCAAGAGGTGGGGGAAGGGCGGGAGGTAGCTCAAGGATGTGTTAATGAAAAGCAAAGGGGAGTTCCGGGTCCTGTGTCAGGGCCAAAGCAGGCTGGCGGCAGAAATGGTTTGTTGGCCACACAAAGGGAGCTGTGGGAGGCCGGAGGGGCACAGTGCCCAGAGAAGAAGCTGATGAAGCGTGTTTGTAGCAAGGAGACAGGAACAGGGAGGGCTGGCTGTCCACTCCCCCAGTTACAGCTCATCTGCTGGAGCCCACACAGAGCTCCAGAGATTGCGGTAGGGGAAAAATGCAGGGCACTCACCTCTTGCATTTCCCCTCAGCAAATTCCAACTGGATTTGGGGACGCAGGGCCCTTGGGTAGTGGCCATGAGGGACTGCAGCCTCCACAGCTACTGCTGTAGCTTTGGCTGGAAGCACTGGCATCCCCCAGCTGAGTGTTTTCAGTCTGCTCAGGGCTGGGTGAGTGAATGAAGCACTACAGATGGTTTATGAGAAGGAAAATGGTGACAGCTACGAGGAGCATTTGTTTAGAATTCTATAGGTTGAAAAGTATATTCCCCTCCCTACAGCAACTATTAGGAGACGGACAGAGTTTTTCTTCTTTCAAATATTAACATTTTGCAGAGCTGGAACATGATGCTCAGAGAGGTTAAGTGACTGGCTAAAGATCACAAAGCAAGTTGGTGTGTTGGTACTAGAAACCAGGTCTTCTCAGACTTCAAATCTCTTGCCTTCCTCTAGTTTCTTCAAGGCAGCCTCAGTTACTTCTGGTGCCCATTTTCCTCTTTGAGCATAAATCCCATATGGCCAGTACTTGAGGGACTTTGGCAAGTGGGGGGAAGGGAAGGAGGAAAGGAAGAGTAATCAGCAAAGACTCAGATTCCTCCTCCACCCCCTCATCCAAATGACCCACCCAGCTCCAAGCGACCCAGCGGCACTGTGCTCCCAGTGAGCCTGCAGTGTCGGCAGCTGTCCCTGGTGCTGAAATGTCCTTGTCTTAAGAAGGGAGGCAGAGGGCAAGGGGCTACCCAAGAGTTTCCCTCAGGTACACCCGTCCGCCCTATTCTCCCTTTCCCGTTCTTCTCTAGATCTCTCTTTTATCTCCTTCCCCTCTCCATCTCCCTCATTCTTCCTTCCTCTCTCCTCCATCCAGGTCTTCATTTCCTCCTTCCCCATCTCCTCATCTTCCTCAAATCCTAAACTTTCAGAGTGGGAAGATGCCTTCAGGGTCGCTAAATCCAGCCTTTTCCATCAGCCATTTACTAGCTGTGTGATGTTTATCAAGTTACTATAACCTCTCTGAGCTCCATTGCCCACATTTACAAGGCAGAGATAGTGATTCCTACCTGGGCTTTGGTGGGGATTTGCTGGAATAATGGCTCCAGAGAGCCCTTCCCCATGCCTGGTACACAGTAGCTGCTCATAAAGTAGGACCACCATGATTATTTTCAGGTCATTGGTGTTATCCTCAGAGTATATCCCAGAATTCATGTATTTTATGACAAAATGTAGTCTCTCTGGAAGGAGTTTCCTAAGTGATGCATTATTCTTAGTGTTCAGACTAGTTTTTAATTACTTGGAGTTGACTTTTATTGATGTTTGCATAGAAAGATTTCTTGAGCAGATCACTTTTCCTTACTGAGCCTCAGTTTCCCCCCTACAACGTATGGCAGGTAAGCCCTCCCCTTCCTGCCTGAGGAGGTAGTGAGAGGGTCTGTGGCCACGAGAAAGGGTACTGTTCCTGCTTATGTGTGTGTCTCTGTGTCTGTGTGTGTGTTTGTTGCTAAGGGGGCTGGGCTCAGTTCTGTGTTTTTCTTGCATCTTTGTGTCCTAACAGCACCTAGCATGGAGCCTTGTCCTATGCAGGGGCTCAGACAGTGCTTGTGAAGTTGTGTGCATGTATGTGTTCCACACATGTGCATGCATGTTGATTCTTCAATGTGAGTCCTGCTCCCTTGCTCTCAGCAATGTCTCTCACCTCTCACTGTCTAACCTCACTGGTGGGACTGGAGGGACAGTGGTCAGCTAAGGCCTGTCTTGACCCAGTGTTCATTTTCTCTCTCTCTAGATGTGATCCTCAAAGTGGTAGACAATAATAAGAAAGAGGAGCTGTTGTCCTACCAAATCCCCATCAAATACTTGCGTGTCTTCCACCCCTACCATTTTGAGCTGGTGAAAGTGAGTCAGAGCCCTGGGCTCCGGGCCCATGGGGACCTGGGACAAGTAGGGGCAAGTGGGTGGGGACCACTTTGATGTCCCCAGCTGTTCCCTCAGAGCAACCCTGGGCATTCCATCCCTTTTCCCTCCTTCTATGTGCATTCCAGACCCCTCTGGTTGTTTAGAGTAAAGAACAATGTGAAGTTAGTTTGTGTGGGTTCCTAACCCAGGTCTGCTGCTTGCTAACTGTGTATCCAGAGGAAGCCACTTAATCCCCCAGGCCTCCATTCCTCATCAGCAATATTGAGACAACATCCCTCCTAGCATGGCCATTTGGAGGGTCAAGTGCAATGATAGGCATAAAGCACCTAGCAAGATGCCTGGCACATAGAAGGTGCTCATTTCAGAAGAGTTCCCCTCCTCCCTCCCTCTCCCAGGCCCTGGCACTGACTTTCTTTCCAAGTAACTCCTCAACAGTGGCCTCAGGGATCTTTACCTTCCCTAGGCTCTAAGAAAAGCCCCAAGCCCAGGGCCTCAGGATGAGGCACCAGTGGCAGGCAGGGAAGTGAAGGCCCAGAGAGCTTAGTGACTCACCTGGGAGACCCAGCACTTCAGCTATAATTCTGGGAGCATCAGCCAGACCTCCTGGCTCTCTGTCCACTTACAACCCAGACCTTGTTATCACATCTTTACAAAGAGAACAGACAGGCAGTGGTCCTTGTGAGGGTGATGAAATATTCAAATGGAAAAGGGAAGATTTATTATATTGATCTCCTTGGAAGGGCTCGCAGGGACCATGAGCTTTAATTATCAGCTCAGAGCCCCAACGGAGCAATGCCAAATGATTGTCTGCAAAGGGCTGGATTTATGGCTGGGGTCTGCCCCATAGTCACTCTCCTCCTTGTGTGTCTTCTTCCTCGACCCTGCCCCAGCCCACAGAGTCTGAGAAAGCTGATGAAGCCACTGGCAAGACCCAGCTCTACGCAACAGTCATTCGGAAGGGCAGCTTCATCCCCCGCTACATTGGCCACAACCACACAGCTCTGGAGGTGCTGGGACTGGGACCCTTAGGGGCGGGATGGGGTGGGAAGTGTGCCGGGAGATGTGGACTGGGGGCAGGCAGGCCAACACACGCAGGCTTTGGCTATCATGGTAAGAATTATGGAATACATTCCAAGACCAGTCGGGGTGGGCAGGGGAGTGACAATACCCAATTCATTTTTGAGAAGGCAGCTTTTGCCACTGTGTATCAGATTACCTGGGAAGGGAATGGACTTGGGGCAAGCGTAGAAGCAGAGGCCGGTAAGGGTCAGAGAAGTAAAAGGAACCATAGGAGTCACTGCTGGGGTGGATGGGGCCAGGGTGAGGGCTGAGAGGAGACTAAGTCCATTGGTGGACAGATGTGAGGACCAGGAGCCAGGTCAGGAGTTGATGGGATGGCAGGGAAGGTATGTGGGGACAGAATCAATGTCTTCTCCTGCTGCCAGTCCAATTTCTGGCCCAGGGCCCCAAGGAGGGCAGCCCTGAGCTTCTGTTCAAGAACCAAGTGAGGCAAAAGCAGGCGGGAGCAGGTGCAGAAGTGTGGATGCAGGGATGATCTCATGTTGGGGAAAAAGATGGTGGGGGTTGGCCGTGTCCCTGAGAAGACCCAAGGCCACCTGGCCTCACCTGCTTCCTCTCTTCCCCAGGTCTTTCTCCGGGGTGTCAACGAGCCCCTGGTCAACAACCATGGCCCCTTGGTGGTCATTGCCCGAGTGGTTCCCAACTACAAGGAGTTTCAGTGAGTGGAGCTCAGGCGGGTGTGGGTAGCAGGTGGGGGTGGAGGATAGGGAAGCAGGGATAGAAACCTTCCCTCCCTACAAGGCACTTCAGACTTCCCTACTAGGACTGAGGTCCCAGGAAGCTGCCATAGCTCTGGAAAGGGGCAGCTCAGACCCTTCCCAAGAGTAGATTGAAGTGGGGCTGGCCAGCATGTAGAGGAGAGGGGGTCCTCAGCCTTTCTAAACCTGCTTCCCCATCTCATGACTGCTGCATGCACAGGACCCCCTCCCACTCTAGTTCAGGACCAAGGCACCATCTGATGTTTGTCCCTAAAGGAGGCAGCCTTAGGATCACCTCAGAACTTCATGACCTTTAGCTCTGCCTGGGAGTCTGCTCCCTCACCCTCCCGGAGGTCTCCCTGGCCCCGGCCCCAGCTCCTCCCGGAGGTCTCCCTGGCCCCGGCCCCAGCTCATCCCCTTCCTCCCTGACCTCATTTGGGGTTTGGTGGATTCACAGTCCTCAGGAGAGGATGTAGGCTGTATGCCACCCAACGCAGGGAGTTCTGCAGTGAACATGTGCCCTCTGTTGACAGTACCATCTCCTGGTGGTCAGCTGTCTGCCTCTGTCACTTCCACTGTCTCTGATGGCCTGAGAGGGCTCCCTAGCTCATCTGTACCACCTGTTGAATTCTGATGACCTGTAACCCCTCCTAGCTGGTTGGGGAAATGAAGATGGCAGACACACCCCCAGCCCTCCTTTGAGCTCATGCCTGCATGCACACACACACCCACCCCACACCCTGAATCCTGCCTCTGCAGCCTCCATGCTCCCCAAGCCTAAGCCAGGATTCCCACCATGGGAGCGGATCATTGTGTTAAGTTCTCCAAAGATGAAGCAGGGATGCAAAGCCCATTTTAAAACTATGACAGCTTGGGAGGGTATAGCTCAGTGGTAAAGCACATGCTTAGCATGTACAAGGTCCTGGGTTCAATCCCCAGTACCTCCATTAAGAAATAAATAAATAAACCTAATTACTTCCCCTCAACAATAAAAAAAAAATACTAAAGAAAAAGGACAGCTGAGGCACTCAGGTGTGGCCAAGGCCACAGTGAGTCATGGGGAAGGGAACCTGGGAGCTGCAGCCCATCTCCCAACCAAGATGAGTTTTCTCAACGAAGGACCAGGGTCCTCCACCTGTCCAGGTGTCCAGACCTGACTAAGTGAGCCACTGCAACCTTCCTCTCTCACATCAATCCAGAGCCCACGCGGGAGCCCTTGGCCGCCAGGCTTGGGCACAAAGCCAGCAGTGCTGGGCCCCCATTGCAACCCTGTGCTGACCCCTGTCTCCTTGCCTCCTCAGAGTCAACTGGGTAAAGCAGGACCCGGCCTCCCTGGGGCTGCCCATCACCCCACTCGCCTTCCCTAGCCCGTCTGTGATGAACTTCGATGTTCCTCAGGTCAGCCAGAATGGGTTCCCTCAGGTATGCGCTTCCCTCCTTCGCCCTCTCACTGGCTCATACCTCTAGTAACTCACCCACTGTTCATTCACTCACTCACTCAGCCAGCCAGCCAATCAGCTGTTCACCTGACTATTGAGAAAGAGTGGGCTGAATCCCACCCTGTACCCGGGGCCAAGCCCTGTCTGTGCTGTGGAGAAAGAAGCTACCCTCAGGGAGCTCTCGGTCTGGTGAAAACAGGAGTCACACACAGAAAAGGTTAACTATCAACACAAGATAATGTATAATGAATAATAAACCAGAGGGATGGTCAGAGTCGTGAAAATCAGAGGAGAGAAGGCACAAAAGGAAAAATATTGTATGATTCCACTTAACATGTGGTACGTAGAGTAGGCAGATTCATAGAGACAGAAAGTAGAATGGTGGTTGCCAGGGACTGGAGGTGAGGAGAGAATGGGGAGTTAGTATTATTTAATGGGTACAGAGTTTCTGTTTGGGATAATGAAAAGTTCTGGAAATAGATGGTAGTGATGGCTACACAACATTGTGTATGTACTTAATGCCAATAAATTATACACTTAAAAATGGCTAAAATGATAAAAAATTTATGTATATTTTACTACAATAAAATAATTTTTTTTAATCAGAGGTGACAGGGATGGGAAACCTGGATGATTAGGGCAGCCGTCCAGACATAGGACCCTTGAGTTTTCAATAGGGGAGGGTTGGTGCAGGGCAATTGAGAACAAGAGCACAGGCATGGAGATGGGGTGCACGGGGCGTGAGACACGTCAGGGTTGGGGAGGACGGTGTGGGTTGAGTTATGTTGGGGAGGGGTATGCAGAGCGTGGCTGGGTCCAGGGAAATGGCCTCACTGATCTCTCCCCATAGTCTACACTTCAATGGGAGCTTGCCCCACAGTATGGTCCCAACATTCCTAGGGGTCTTGAAGAAGACAGGAGTGCCTGGGAAGTTCCTTCTGTTGTCTGCCAGCCAGTGTTCATGTCTGGCATGGCAAATATAGAATGAGGTACCCCTTCAGAGCCCCAGCCTTCAATTAAAGGCAAAGACGTTTGAAGAAGGCCTAGACACGAACAAGAGTGATGGTGGTGAAGAGGGGTGGGACAAAGGGGGACTCTGGGGACAGAGGCTTCAAACCCAAACCAATCCTCGGCCTGATTTCCCCAGAGCCATCTCACACATGGCCCTGCATTTGCCTGGAAAATTATGAACCAATCAGCAGGCTGTCCCGAGGGGAAGGAGATGCTGGCTGATTTAATGAGTGAGTTCCCTCCCTACCCGGGGGCCTCTCTGGCTGCCTTTGCTGCCTAACTAGTCTGGGTAGGGGAGGTGCCCCCAGTGCCTACTGCATGTGCGGGACTCAAGGCTAGAGGTCCCAGGATGGCAGGACACTTGTTGAAGGTCACCCAGCACCCTGAGAATCGGGCCAGGTTGAGTACTGGGCCAGATGTACCCAGGTGCCAGCAGCGACAGGACACGGGCAGGCTTCTGTGGCACAGTGGGGGGATGGCAGGAGTAAGCAGGGCCCTACCTGGAAGGGGCAGCAGTCTGCAGCTCACGCAGACCCCCGCCCTGTCCCCTCTCTGAGCATCAGTCCCCTCATCTCAGTTGAGGGGATGGGCGTTGGACTTAGGCAATTTCTAGGACTTGCCTCTCTGACATCTTGGGGTACTGTGATGTCCCACCAATTGCCCACCATGCCAAAACACCATGGGCAAGGATTTGAGTGCCTGACAGACCTGGATCTGACCCCTCTTCTGTGACTTATTGGCTGTATGACCTTTGGCAAGTATCTTAATTTCTCCAATTCCTGACTCCTACCTTATCAGGCTGTTAGGAGAACTTACTGGGATAACCTGTGCAAAACATCCAAGCCCAGAGTGGAAGCTACATGGATTCAGACCCTTTCAGAGCTGCCCCTCCCCCAGTGCCGTTGTCCCCTCTGAGGCCAGCCTCTCCATGCTCTTGTTACATTTGGCTACAAGCAATAAACCCCAACTCACATCCACTTAAACTTAAGGCTATTTATTGTTGCTCATCACAAGTGGACCCCATGTAGGATGCTGCCAGAATTGGTTGATTCATGGGCTCAGCAGCATCCTCAAGGACTCAGGATCTTTCCAGCACCCCTGGATTGCTATCTTCAGCTGGCTAACAGCTCATGGGGACAAAATGTTCCCTGCACTCCGTCCAGACATGACCAAGACCAGAGGGAAAAAGAACCTCCCCTTCCCACAACTGATTTTTATGAAGAACTGGAAACCCTCCCTCCAGGGGCCCCTCAGCAGACCGCCCCCTCCATCTTATTGGCTGGAGCTGGGTCACATCCACTCTCTCAGCCAATCACTGAAAAGGGATGTGGCATATCACCCTGCCAGTAGCAAGTGCAAACAGGTGTAGAGAACAGTCACCTGGACCAAAGCAGATTCCTGGCCAGGAGGAAGGGAGGGGAGTGGTTGAGGGTAGATGGCCCTTTGTATCTGTTTAACTCCTCTTGGAGCCAGGTGATGATGGCGAAACCTGAGCTCTGATGACTTAAGGGACAGCTGGGCCGCTGGGCTTGACCTGGCCCAGCCTGTGGGACCCAGCATAGGGTGTCTGTATGTCCTATCCCCGTGGGAGACAATGCCCTCCAGAGGGCTCTCCCCATGTGCCCTGCTGCACCCCAAGGCCACTAGCATGGAGAAGCCCCCAGTCAGTATTTGTTCAGCTCAGTTTAATTGAACTTTTACCTTCGCAGCAAAATAGCCACTGTCTTCTTCAACCCTCACATCAGCCTTTCAAAGAATGGAGCCTAAGATGTTTTCTCACTGGGCAATGACAAAACCAGGTTCCAGAGAGAGAAAGGGACTTGCTGAAGGTCACACAGCAAAGAAGAGGCAGACCTGGGCCCAGAGCCAAGGTGTTCTAGCCACCCAGCATCATCTGGCCCTGCAGCTACTCTTCCCAGGATGGCCACCACTGTGTCCGGGCAGAGCAGGCAGCTGCAGCCGTGGGTGTGGGTGTGGTGGGCCCCCGGGGAATGAGAGGAGGGACCAGAGGCCCCTTTAATGAAGGCCCTGTCCCCAGGGAAGGCAGGTCTACCTCAGTGGCTGGGGGTTAATGGCTTTGCTGAAGATCACAGCTGAAGGTTAATCACATTCCTTAATTCTACAGCCTGCCAGGGCTCTCCCATTAGCATCTGTGGGGAATGGCTTCCCCACTCACCGTGCCCCTCCCCACCCCAACCCCCACATGCCACTGGCACCTTCACCAGGTTCCTGGCATCAGACTCTGAAGGTGGCTTAACCTTGATTTCTGGCCTCACCCCACCCACACATGAGAGAGGGTGACCCTCCTTCTCCAATTCTAGGTCTGAAGGGACCTTTCCTGGGGGACTCATCTGGGAAGCCATTCAGGGAAGGAGCTGTCCTTCCTCAGCAGGCAGACACCACTTCTTGCTTTATAGGCTCCATTTAGACACATTAATAGGCCCTAGAGAGGACAGCTAGCTTCCATTAAACACCCCTTTTCCTGGGTGGGAGCAAGGGGTGGGGCAGAGGGGGCTGTCACAGCTCCGCCCTGGTGTTTGGCAGATGATCTAGGCCATGCGAATGCCCCTTAGGGACTCAGGAGAGTGAGGTGGCTGTGGGATGGGCATGGCTTGGGGATAAATCCTGAAAGGCCACTCCCAGGCACCACAGAACCCAGAGCAGCTTCTCTGGCCTGGCCTGGTGGCCAAATGGCTGTCCCTGAGCTGCCACCAGTGCCTGCTCTCAGGAACACTCTCATCATTCCAGTCCCTGTCCCTGTGTTCAGGGCCCCTGGCCCCAGGCCCCAAAGTGACTGCAGTTCTTCTCCCCAGGGGCAGAGGCAGACACAGCTGAGCCTCAGACTGGGCCTGGGAGACCAGGAGCAGACACATTAGTGTGACAGGCGTCAGGGCCCCACGGCTGGGGGAGTGGACCCACACTGATACTTTGCGCTCCTGCATCAATAACTTCTGGAGCCGGCGGTGCATTTGTGCTGACCTTTTCGAGTGATGACTGATTCCCGCAGGGGAGCAGGAGGTGGGAGCGGCTGCTACTGCTGCTGACAGCCCCTGGCTGGGGGCAGAGGCAAGCAACCACTTGGAGAGTCTGCGCCAGTGACCTTTACCCCTCCCTGTGTTGGGGCTGTGCAGGGCTGCCTGCTGGGTGTGACAGGCTGACGCCCCTGTGTCCCATCCCTCACTTGCCACCTTCCAGCTTCACAGACGCTGGGCCTCCTTCCCCTGGGGTCCCTCCTCATTCCAGGTGTCCACACATGCCAGGCTCCATGCCACCTCCACATGTTTAGTTAGGCTGTTTTCCCACCCAGAGTAACATCCTCCCTCCCTTCAGCCTGCCAGATCTTCCCTCAGAGGCTTCCTCTGGTCCTGTTTCCTTCAAGATGACTTTCTGATCACCCACTGGGAAAGTCTGGGATGTCTCGTACAGCCCCTTGTGTGGGGGCTATAGTTAACGCTGTCTTGTTTCATTGTTTAAGTATTACCTGCATGTGTGCCCCAGCTGCTGGCTTAGCAGACCATCAAGTCCGCCAGATGCCCTATGGGAGACCTGCCGTGGCCTCTGTGAGGGTTTCAGAGGGGAGAGGGGCTGGTGACAAGGGTAGAGGTCATGTCTAATTTGGTATCTGTGTCACCACCAGCCATGGATGTAAACACTGGTGCAGCTCTTGAAGAAAACAGTTTACCAATGATGAATCAGGTGCCTTAAAATATGCACATCCTTTAACTCAGCAGTTCCATTTTGGGTACTTGTATCAAAGAAATAATTTGAGATACAAAGATACGTGTCAAGGAACATTCAGTGCAATGTTATCATAGAAGCAAATGGGAGGGGAGAAACCAGGGCACTTGGACATGACCGAACATCCTGCAGCTACTAAAACTGGGGAATTATGTTACTTAGGGCTCTGGATATGCTTAGGTTTTAATGGTAAATGGAAAAAGCAGGACGTTAGGATGACAGTTATATACAAAATAGGTGTAAGGGAAAAACTGGAAAGAAACACACAGTCTTAGGAACGGTTGTCTTCAGTTTAGGAATTTAGGTGGGTCTTTTTTTTCATCTTTCTACTTTTCTGTATTTTTCCAAAATTTATTCATTAAACGTGTGCTGCTTTTGTAATTGGGACAAACATCTGTGACATAGATCGACATGCACACAACCAAATATCTGACATCCCTTCGTTTGGGAGAAGCTGTGGCCTCACCACCTGTTCCCACCTTCCTCCCTCAGCTGTCCGAGCCTGGGGGGCCCCCAGAGCTGCCCCTGTGGAATCAGTCCTTCCTCTTCCAAGGCCGAGACGGAGCCACCAGCTTCTCAGAGGACACAGCCCTGGTGCTGGAGTACTATTCCTCGTCTACAAGTAAGTGACCCCTGTTGCCCCGCCAGGGCAGCCACGTACCAGGACGTGTGTATGAAAGGGTGTTAAGACCATCCTCCCTCTGCCTCCTGTGGGGATGGGTGAAGGGGTCCTGGTTCCAAGGCAGCCTCCCTGTGCATGTAGACAGGTTGGGGAGGGCCTGGCAGGCTTTCTTGTCCAAATGGCAACACTAAGGCACTGGTCAGGACGCGCGGGCCGTATTCCCACACGAGACCCATGCATTTTATTGCACCACCGCCCCCTCCCCATGAACCTATCAGTGAGGAGGGAGGGGGTGAGCTCAGAGCTCACAGTCTTGGGGGGAACCAGGATTCGGAGGCCAGCTGATCCACAGTCTTAATTCCATACCATAAGAGTGAAGCCCCCGAAGGGCAGAGACGAGGGAGTTCTATATAAATACCCAGAGACACAGAATCTGTTTAAAGTTAGGCTTGAACTCAGGAAGCCCTGAAGAGCAGAGGAGGAGGAGGAGATTTGTGGAAGGAAACGCCAGGAGGCAGGAAACAGGTGGGAGGTGAGGGATGGGAGAATTAGATGTCAGGTACCAAAGGATAGGCCCCGGTGGGGCTTCAGATGCTGGGATCCAAGAAGCCTGGGCTGGAGGCTTTGGTGGGAGCCCCAGCTGGTCCTCCCCCTACAGTGAAAGGCAGTGAGCCATGGACCCTCAACAAGCCCCTGGGCATCTCCGTGTTGCCACTAAAGAGCCGTCTGTACCGCAAGATCCTCACAGGGAAAGGCCTGAATGGGCTGCGCGTGGAGAAGCTCCCCATCACCGTGAGTCCCCCATACCCCCAGACAAGGCCCATGGCAGGTCCTCCTGGTTCCACCTGTCTCCAACCTGCTTCACCAACAGAGGAGAATCTGGCTTCTCCAGCAGCTTCCACCAGGGCCCCCACCAGGGCATCTGACCACTGTCAGGTGTGAGGAGTACCCCTAACACGAAACATCAGTCTTGCCCCTGGGCTTGTGATGAAATTGCCCCCAAGCAACTGGGGGAGGAGCAAAGGGGGCCCTGTAGGATAGCAGCAAGAGTCCAGACGTGTAACCAGCCAGACCTGGGTCCAAGTCCTGACTTGCCCTAGTCCTCACAGTAGAACCTGGGGCAAGATACTTAACCTCGCTGAACCTTAGAGCACCCATCTCTAAAATGGGAACAGACAACATGCTGTACACGGTCTCTCTGTATAGCAAGAGAGTCTAGAATCAGACTGTCTGTTTCTGCCACTTTGATGTGCTCATTGTCTGGTCCACACTCCCTACTCTCTAAGAATGCAAGCTTTATGAAGACAGGGCCTTTTTCTCTTCTTCGTCAGTGTAAGATCCCTAAAAATTACTTGGTCTCAGTGCCTTAGTTTCCCTGTCTATAAAATGGGTTCATAGCAATAGTACTTTTCTCATAGGGCTGCTATGAGATTGGTGGGGGGAATACCTAAAAAGCACTTAGAGCAGAATCAGTTCTCAGTAAGAATTAATACATTATTATCAGCATTGTCTATTTCTATGCCACCTTTTTCCCTAAAACACATCTGTCCATGCTGACATAACAGACCTCAACAAATTGGAGTTTCCCCCGTCTGCTCGGAGGCAGGTCTGGAGGAGCCAGCCAGGTCTCCAGTGGGGGTGGGAAGGGTAGTACAGAAGCAGTGAGGGCGAGCAGAGGCAGGAGACCAGCTACCGCCTCCCTCCCCCTCCGCAGGCACAGCCTCTAGCCGGCACCTCTAGCAGGCACGGTTTCAGATTCCCCAGGAAGGGGAATCTGAAACCGTGGGCACAGCAGAGGCAGAAGCTGCCTTGGCCAGTGTGGCTGACTGCCCCCTTCTCCTCCCCAGCACACCAAGCTGAAAACCATAAACGGTGAGGCCCCCACGGTAGACCTCTCCTTCCAGCTGCTTTCCTCCGAGGTAAGGCCACGGGTCAGGGGAAGGTCAGGGGAGGGTCAGGGCCTGGCAGCCGTGTGCCAGCTCTTGTAGCCCCTCAGTGGGTTCCAAACTCTTTCACAATTGTTGGCCTTGTTCAGGGGCCCAGGCCAGGGGCTTTTGGAAGGAGGGGGTGCTGTTTTGGATGGAAATGTCTGAGGGTGATTTAAGGCTCCAGAAAACCAGAGGGGAAGCTGCGACCGGGAAGAGCAGAGGGCCACTCGGCCCTGGGAATTGCCTCTACCTCAACCCAGACCAAGCCTGGCTCGCTGGGGTCAAGGTTCTCCAGGGGTGAACTAGCATCTCGGCTTCTGTTGCTGCATAACAGACCACCACAAACTTAGTGGCTTAAAACTGCCCCGATTTATGAGCTCACACTTCTGTAGGCAGGCAACCCAACACAGCAAGGCTGAAGCCAGGACACGGGCAGGTTCCTGTTCCTACCTGGAGGCCCTGGGGAAGGGTGTGCTTCCGGGCTACTTAGGTTGTCATCAGAATCCAGTCCCCTGCAGTTGCAGGACTGAGGTTCCTGTTTCCTTGCTGGCTGTCAGCCGGAGGGCCTCTCAGCTCCTGAAGGGCGCCCACGTTCCTTCTCACAATGCCTCCTCCATCTTTAAGCCAGAAGGCAAGTCACATCCCCCTCACACTTCAAAGCTCTCTGACTTCCTCCTCTGTCAGCAGCCAGAGAAAACTCTCTGCTTTTGAAGTGGCTCTTGTGATTAGGTCAGGCCCACTCTGATAATGTCCCCATCTTAAGGTCAGCTGTGCCAGGTAACATCATCACAAGAGTGATAGCTCATCATATTCATAGGTTTCAGGAATTAGGGTGTGGAATCTTAGAAGCTCATTTTTGGAATCCTCCCCTCCACAGCTGAGTTGACCCACGTAGAAAGGCCCCAGGGGCTGAGCCCTGCCTGAAGGGGGTATGTCTTCCTTTAGCAGCTGTACCTGGGCTCTGCGTCTGGCGTGCACCCGGCTCATTTGGCTCTAGTGCACCTGACTTTTTTCTCTGTGGTGCTGAGACAGGCATAAATCTGGGATTTGGGTGCTTTAGGACCGTGAACTCTGGAAATGCTCGCAGGGGCTGATGTCTGGATCAGCCCACTCCTGCTAGCTTCTCATGCCAGGAAAAATAGCCACCAGCTCTGGGGTTAATACTTGCCCTTGGCCTTGTGACCTTACCCATGAAGAACACAGGGAGTTCCTTGACGGAGGGTCTGAGAGGGTCTATCTGGGAAGGTACCAGCCCACAAGTGTCTCCCCACAAGGCCTCTGATGAATACTTAAAACCTTCCATTAGCACCCCCTGGTGTGGAATGTTCTGCATTGCCCTCTAGGGAGTTGTCTGATTCTTGATGAGAGTTTGCTAGGTATAACCTGACATCGACACCTCCCACCCCGCCACCACCAAACCAGGCACAGGATGGAGAAGTTACTGAGAGAGGAGGACACAGAAGCAACAAAAGACCCCAAGAAAGGGAAAGCAGGGTCCTTGGAGAAAAATGTCCCAGATGTTCCAGATTGGAGCCCAACCCTCCACAAATCTTCTCAGGGTCTAGAGTCTGCCAGTGGCCACTTCCTCACCTCCCCCTGCCCCTTCACTGGGGCACATGTGTCCTCAGAACTGAAAGCGTCAAGTGTCACTGGTCAGGGCGCTGAGGGACCCAGGCAGGCAACAGGCAGGTGGGCAGGACACTTCCCCAGTTGCCCAGGGGCTGGCCACAAAGGTCTCAATGATGAATTATTCACTGGAGCTGTGCTAAGTGCAGAATTAATCCCTTTCCTTCCAGCTGGCGGCCTCACTAAATTATCCCTCCAAGTCATGCGGGAAAATGCTGCCGAATTCATTTAGCTGCTGAGTGTTTTGATCTGGGCCTTGTGATTTTAGCTTCCCCTTCCCCCAGTCCCCTCCCCCTGGAGGCGGTTAAAAAAACCTTTCAGTAATGGATTTCCAAGAAGAAAGGAAAAGAAAGGGGATCAAGATTGGGTATGTGCCAGGAAAACAGTACTAGAGGAAATTCAAATTCTGCAGCCAAGGATTCATACACACAATTAGTTCTTCACGTCCACACTCTCACATGATCGCGTGTACCCACACATGGACAAGCACATACGCACCGACATCCACACACACACGCTCAACCCCGTCTGCAAGAGTGCACACATTTAACGCATAAATACATGCTCACACACGCGTGCAAACTGACACACAGACGTTTTCACACTCCCGCTGGCACTCACGGAAGCAAAATCTTTTTGTGGTTAAACTGTTTCTTGGTGAAACTATTTGAGAATTGGCCAATAACTGACTCGCTTTGATTCTAGAATCTTGAAGTCCAGTTTGGGGGTCTGAGTATGAAGAGCTAATGTGGATGGACTTGGTATAAGGTTCTTGCAGCCATGGCACATGTTCTTTCATTCTTTTATCCACATGTATTTGATGAGGACTAGAATTCGGCTGCCCTTGCAGATTGCAGTGAGCAGAGGGAGGGGCCGGCAGCCGTGGAGCCCATCTGCCTTGAATTCACCCTCCTTTGGTGCAGACGGAGCTCGCTGCCAGTGTCTGAGCCCCTTTGGCATCCTCCTCCCTAAGGGACGGTGGGAGAGTGTTGATGAGCAGGTCAGATGACGCTGCGGCTAAGTCTAAAGGGCGTGTCCCTGGCCCCTTTCCTCGCCGTTGCCGTCGCTGTAATACCACCACTGTTCTCCGAGCAACTGCAGGTCTTCGCTGGGGTTTAGGGATCTTACGCTGACGAAGAGGAGAAAAGGCCCTGTCTTCATAAAGCTTGCATTCTCAGAGAGCAGGGAGTGTGGACCGGACAATGAGCACATCAATTCATGAGCAAATAACAGCGTATGATACAAGGCCTGATGAAACCCAGGCGGGTGCTGTGATGGGGACGGCTCCGACAGGCTCTCCGGATTTGATGTGCCATCTGAGTAGGGTTACCAGTCAAGCTGCTGCAACAAAGAGACCGGGTTCCTTCCATCTCATTGTTCCACCTAAGGTGTTGTCCACCAATTTCTGGTGGAAAGTACCTGGCCTTCATCTCTGTATTACAGCCTGTGGGAAGGCATGGCAGACCTGGGACAAGAACCGCTGAGTCTTCCACTGTTTGAATCAAACACTGCTCAGAGCTCCATGAGCTGCCTCCTGAAGCCTGGAGAGTCCTGAGGACACTCTATCTGCAGGGGGGCTTATGATAATGCCTCTCGGGGGCCCTCATCCACCTGGCTAACAACTCCATCTTAGGGGCAACTCCTTGTGCATGGTCAGCTGTGCTGCGGAGAGGCAGTGCTTCAGGACAAACGAATATGCGTGTCCTATTTGGGTACCAACCACTTGAGGACACAGCCTCTTTCCTGAGAGCTGCCGTGTCTTGGAGGCTTGGACACAGACCATCCTGGTTAGCTGACATTTTGGTGAGCACAGTCTCCCCACACCCACTGCTTCCACATCACCCATTCTCAGAGCTCTAGGAGCAAGAATACTGTGGAATTTCCATATAGGCAGAGACCACAGAGGTGTCTCTCAACAGCCCACCCTGGATAGGAATCTCCTTGACATTCACCACGGGTGGTCATCCCGGCCCCTCCTTTTGCCCTGCCATCAGGGGGCTCACTACCTCCAGAAGCAGCCCATCCCATGGCTCAGTGGCTACAGCTGAGAGAAACCCTCACCCCACATTGAGCCCACCCTGCCTTCAGGGGCCCTCCCGCTGCCCCAGGCTCCTGGCTCTGCCCTCTGGGGCTGTGGTGCAACCCCAGCGAGCCTCCTCCCAAGCCATCCAGTGCCGCAGGCAGACTAGCCAACGAAGCCGGCCAAGCCTGCGGTCTCAGTGAATGGCAAGAGGGAATGGTCTCCGGTTTGGGATGTGCTTAAAGCAGGTTCTGCTGGTGATGGGTTAAGTTTTTTCCCTCTGAAGGGACTTCTCTGTGGACACATGGTGCTTAGAGTGATCTGCCTTAAGTTGGAGTTGTTGTGTAGAGTAGATGTATAACTACACACAGATACACAAAAGCTAGAAAAGCATGGACGCCTGCATATACTTAGAAAACTTCCCTTTAGTGCTTGTTCAGTGGGGGTTCACCTTGGAGGTCCACTGGGCTCTGAGAGTCCATGAGCCTGCGGTACTCCACATGTACATGCACGAATAAACCTTTGGTCTCCTCCATCCCCTCTCTGATCTTGTCCTCTTCTCTTTGAAGAGTGTGATCTGGTCCCCTGGGAGTCAGTGCTTCTCCAGGCTAAGCAGTCTATCTCTTTTAATGAACAGGTTTCAAGATCCCACAGCATCCTGGGTGCCCTCCAGCTTGCAGACAGCCTCTTTGAAGTGAGGCTCCCAGCTGACCAGGTTTCCCAGGCTGACTGTGTGGACTGAACCCTGGCACACACACAGTAGGTGCTCACTGTGTCAGCTGCCACCTCCTTGTCTGGAGATGTACTTCTCCATGAGGTGAGACAAGTCCATGTTGCCATCTGGGTGTTTGGCAAAAGGTCCCCTCTTGGGGCTGGAATTTGGGATCCAGAGTCTTGCCCAGGCAGGGCTCCAGGTCACCAGGCAGAGGTAGGGCCTCTCAGATGGGTGGCCACCCCTCCTTAATTCACAGCCCTGGGAGATGCCAGAGGGTTGAAAACCCACTGCTCTCTTGGATTTGGCACCGGGAGGGGGCATTGAAGGAATGGAGGTGACACCTGCTACTCTCCACTGAAGGAAGAGGCAGCTCCCACAGTCCCATCTGACCTTCCCCCTCCCTGTTTCCCTCACAGGGAAGGTGGGTGGGTCTTTGATGACAGAGGGCTGCCCTGGTGTTTTTATTCAAACCACTTACAAAGCTTTCTCTGGAGACCAGCCCAGAGTGGGTACAAGTGGCTGTTCAGCAAATGTGGAATGCAGAGTAGGGGACAGGCAGATGATCATGCTGGCTTTTGATGAATTTTTATGGATTTTTTGGAAAGCCACACATGACAACCCTGGGCTGGT